TTTGAAAATCACTATCGTATTGTTGGAACACTAGCAAACTTGTACCTCAGTCAAATTCAGCTTGACTAGATTTTATCTGAAAACCTGTCTAGTCTAGTGGCCTCGGTGCAAGTATTCTGATTTGGTGCCTGAACTCCATGACAGTGGGAGAGATGGATTCTGTAAATGTTCAAACACATCTGTACCCTTACTTAAAAGGAAACAAAGTAACTCCACAGGTATTTTTGACGCCCAGCCAGCTTTAAGAACCGTTGGAAAATAGGTGGCTGCCCTTACCCCCCAAAGTGCCTGACTCAGTCATCTGTGGAAGAGCCTGGGCATCTGTAGCGTGGGCTTCTCTAGAGACTCCAGTAGAAAGCCAGACGTAATAACTTTGCAAAGGGATTTCACGCTGGCTCCATGTTCTAGAAGTTCCTCCACTCCCATGGGGGGAGTGCTGGACAGGGCTAGAATCACTAGCCTTGAGACCCGCTTTTGCTATACACTACACTCAGGACAAAAATGGTTCCCTGGAAGCTTTTGCTGCGTCTACACTGAAGCAATTACAGAAGATTTATATTTATTTGAATTCCATTGTTAGAGAATTTTTGATAATGTAGATATGCAGTCATGGGCAAATGCAGAGTCCACTCCATAGGAGATGAAGAGCCAAGAGGCTTAGAGTTGTAGGTAAAGATTCAGATTCCGGTCCTGCTGACTTAGCAAGGGCTCCAACTCACTGCCTACGGAAGTCGTGGACCCTGGGCGCCAGGATCCTGATCTGTGTGGAGATGAGGGGAACAACTTCACAGAGCTGTTGCGAGACGTGAGACTTGTGTATGAATTAGACTGTACGCTGTGAAGGAAGAAATAAGTGTGAGCTGTTGTTCTTACTTAACTCTAGTGGTGAGAGAGAAAAAACCAAGCTTCAGGTTAGTAAAGTAGCGGTGACCCATTAGCCCAATAGTCCTATACCAGCTAAACTTCGCCGTTCCCTTCATCTACGTTAAATGAAGCTCGTCCTCAACACTCAAGTTGAGTGTTAACCCCCATGTGAAATGTTTTGTGTCCTACTGGCAGTTTATTCTCTCCACTTGCATCTTAGCACACGCTAGTGATTTGATCTGAGTGCGTGGGTTTTCCTCTTCCCGGGATTCGAGATTTCTGAGGACCAGGGCTCACGCATCACTGCATTACCCTAGATGGGTGTGCTTGGTGTGTTAGTGACAGGGATGACTGGCAGGAGAAGGAGGGAAAGGAAATTAGGTACGGATAAGAGAATAGGGCAGGCCATTTAAGATATTTAGAGATGTGAAGACCAAACTTACAGAACAGGGACCTTGTCTGTGTGGATGCCCCCTCCCCGAGGTCATGGTCAGCGTCATGGTCAGTGCTGGGCACAGGGGAAAGTGGCCCTGGGGAAATTAATGAATGAAAGAAAAGAAGAGGCCAGCTCTAGGCAAAGGTTTCTGTAGGCACGGGGTTCTCAGGTCACGTTTCCTTTTCTTTGGTAGAACCCCGAAGTGCCTGTTAGCCTTATACCATCCCCTTGCTGCGGGGGCTCCAGTGCAGAATCACCAGAACCTCCCCCAAGGCCCGATCCTCCCCCACTGGTCATTTTAGAACCCTTGCTCCTTATCAAAGGAACGGTTCCTCTTCCCATTCCTGCAGGCCTGCCCCACGCGTCTCCATTACTTCCTAATTTAATAACCGCAAATCCCTATGAGAAGTTATGGGTACTGAGGGGCCACCTTTCACAGGAGTGAAGTATTTGATCCCGAAACACTTAAACGGAAGGGCCAACCCAGCGACTGTGTCAGGCCCTGTGGGCGGCTGAGTAGATGGGTTTGTAGTCATGCTGTGCCGGCCCCTTCCCGGTCTGTGAAAGGCTGGTACTAGAGCGAGGTGTGCATTTCCTTGGAAAAGGCGGCCCTTGACAGACTGGCTGGGGGAGTCCTGATGTTATGAAAGCCCAGTCTCTAAAGGCTCTGTGGACAAGTCACCTGGAGATGCGGTGTCGCGGTTTTATTACAATACGGACTCCTTCTTGGGGTGTGGAATTCATTTGTGCCTCAATCAAATAGCAGGATTCTGTAGTCAAGTAAGAGTCAGCACCTCTTTGTGAGATACTTAATTTCTCAGAACAGACCGGTGCTGACAATCTCTGAGAGAAAAATACAAAATTCAGACGCGAGCCAAGATACCTGCCTTGGTCTAACCCCCTTTGTCTTACACTGGGTGGGATGGGAGTGCTGACTGCGGCCGGGCATCGGGGAGACTGACAGACTCTTTCCTAGTCGGCTTTCCCGGGGGGATGGGAGGGAACATGCCGCTTAGTGCGCTGGCTCCCTCGTAAAAGAGCTACGGGAGAGGTACATCTCCCGTTGCATTTGAAACCCAGATCACTACACTCACTCAATTAAAACTGCTCTTGAATGTTCCCTGGATAATTTCCCTCTGTATTCATAAGGTCCTCAGCCCTGAAGTTTCAAAGGAAGCTCACTTGGTTCTCCTCCATGGGCCAGACAGACACTGATCTCTAGAGAAGTGGCATGAATCCTTTTAAGAAGCCAGGAGTTGGAGCGATCATTGGCCTTTCAGAGTCTGATAACTGGATTTTCATCTCCGATTACTGATGTTTTTAATTTGGAGCCGGAGCTGTTCCCTCTGGTAATAAGTGAAGTTTGAGCACGCAGGGCATGCTGTTATTCTAAAATGGAGTTCAAATTAGATTTTGCCCAAACAGGTAGAGAACCAGGAAAACTTGGCTTCTGTTAATGCTATACTTTTGGCCAAATGTTCCTAAATTCTTGTGGGCTTTCACTTTCATGAGTTTTACCATATGTGAGTACCACCTGAAAGTTTATTTACTATTTTGCTTGAAATCCATTCACTGTTACACTTGAATTTACTGCCATAAATGTAAGCGCACTAACCGGCACTAGTACTAGTAATACTAGTACTTGTTAGTAGTATTACTTGTCCTTAATTGAAGGTAATAAAATAAATACAATAAAGACAAAAGTTATTAAATTCTAGCTAGATAATATAGCTTGCCACAGGTTCTGAGCCCAAGGCCTGTATCCCTTTAATTGAAAGGCAGATTAACCTGGGCTGAAGATGTGCTAGCAAGGCACCAAAACTCGCCTTCTGGAAATGTGATGAATTGGGGGGAAAAAAAAACAAAAAAACAGAGACTCCTTTTTCCTCGGCTCAGTGATCGTTCCAATGCTTTTGATTCCAAGTGGTACTCGGCCTACCTTTGAAAAACACTGCCTTTAAAAAAACTCATTCCTTTATATTCAGTGTGAGGAATTAAGTATTTGGACTTGTGTGAAAACCTCTCTGTAGGATGTGATCAGAACACCACAGAGGAAGTAGATGGCACCTTCCCTACACTCAAAAAAATGGGTCATCTAATAAGGGATGGAATAAACTGATGAGAAGATAAATGTATAGAAGCACGAGTTCCAAAAAAATGCAGTAGTTCATACTAGAATGCGAGCTGCGAGGAAAGAAAACAGGTCTGTGTGTTTTGTTCCCTCGTGGATCTATCCCCCAGCTGTTAGAAGAGTACTTGGCACCCAGTAGACAGTCAACAAATACCTATTGAGTCGAAGAATGCAACCCCCATTCCAGTCTCCCAGTGGTGATGTAACCCTACAGTTCACGGGTGGGGACTGGATTGGTGCAGTGTGGACAGGATATGGGGAGGCAAGATTTGGACGGAATCTTGAGGTGATAGAGAGCACGCACACACACGTACTCACACACACTATGCCGCACACACAGCGGCTCGGATCGTACATATGAAAGCCGTGGCTTGTTTGACTAAAGTTGTGACCTTAGCCTCAAAAAGGCAAACTACCTCCCATCCCCCAATCTGTGTACTCCTTTCCCCAGACCTAAAGCCATCCCCCTTCTTGTTTTATAAACCTCACATTTCAGACTGATCTACACCCTGGAAAATGAGTTGTTTCAGCAAGATAAACCATCTTCTGTTATAGGAACGACACGTTCTATTTCTAGAAGTGTGGGTGTGACATTCAGAGAGACCCAGCTTTGTTTAGGTAGGTTGTTAGTTTACAGGTGCGGCAGTATTTCCTCACTTGTTAAGGACGGCTCCTTAAACCTTTGCAGCTAAGCTGTGGTGCCATCTTCCACAGTTCCCTTTGCTGGTTTTGTTGTTGTTGTCAAATGGAATCATTGCTCCTCCGGTATTAATCTGCCATCACACACTTTGCTGGTCCAGAAATAGCAAAGTCTCCGGTAGTATTTTTCAAGAATAAGCAAGACAAGCAGATCAGCAGGATTATAAACGTGAGGCAGTAAGGTGGGAGGAGAAAGTGCTACTGCCGTCGCACACATGGCCGCGGGCCTCCGCGTCGGTCTCTCCGGGAGCGGGGACGCATCTCGGCTTCACACCGAAGGGATCTCTGGGGGCCGGCCTGAAGGCAGGAAGGCTCTGCTCGAGCTCCAGCTGCACGGGCTTTGTGACAGGCTTCCATTTCCAGAAACATGATGCTAGCATTTTGGTTTGGGTATTTCCCACGTTGGTTATGTGATACTAAACCTTCAGCTCAGTTATACCCGGAGAATGTTTCTCAGAAAGCTCATTTTTTGTCCTCTTTCACATGAAGGCTGATTTTTAAATATGGCTAAATACAAACGTAGGCCGAACCACGAACCAAAAAGCAAGGTATGAACCTTAATGTACTGAACCTCAAACCTAACCTCATTTTTTAACAACTACAGCCCTTTTTTTTTTTTTAAACAACCTAGTAAAGCACTAGCAGGAACCAAAAATTCACATTTTCTAAACTAAGCGAAGTCAATACCACAAAATACTTTTAAACTTCAGCTTTGAACTAAAACCTCATTGAGTCTCTATCTCCGATGAACCTAGTTGTTGTCTCTTTTGGGAAGGGGTGTGCTCTGGGGCTTAGCTCCTGCCTCTGTTCAGTGGAAAAGGCTGAATTTCCATGTAAACTAATGAACTCATTCATGTGTTTGTCTTTCAGGTTCAGTATTTCTTCAAGATCTTGGATAATTAGCAGCAGAGAAAGCAAAGAAGTCACAGGCTGGAGCATTTAGACAAGAGTAATCACGCACATGAGGAATGTGTTCATTCTTTTATTGTCCATTGTTTTAACCTGACTGAATACAAGATCAACAAGAGCACTGTACTCCTGGCAATTATTATACATGTTAGAACATGGATTTTGCACTGTAGACAACATTTAACACCAGTCTATGGGGTACTGCATTGCTTTTTATAAAGTCCAAAATAAAGATTTATTTTCAAACAAGTGACTTTGGTTTATTTCATACATTACACTTTTTCTTGCAGAAAAAAATAAAATTGTACAACTGCATAAATATAAAATTCTTCCACCATGAAAATGGTTAAAACATTCATAAAGACACAGCACCAGCATGTGATGCCTCCAGAGAAAGGAAAAAAGGAAAAGTAAAGGAAAATGTACAAAGCAAATGAATTAGGCCTGTCACCAGCCCAAGTGACAGGCGATCCAGATCTCATACACAGCTTCAGAACGTACTGGAGGACAAGGGAAGAGATGTCGAGACGGCATTCAATACAAAGCACAACACAACCCCTCACCTTTTTGTATTATATTTCTGTAGTGTCACTTAAAATTAAAAGGGCAGTTCCCCCATGACAGCCCACCCCCACCCCCAGCCCCAGGAAAAAAAAAAACAAAAAGTAAAGACCTAACACCACAGGAAAAGACTATGGAGTGTGTTAAAAATGCTCACTGATGGGCCATTATTTTTGAAAGAGCCAAACCAAAAAAAAAATAAAAAATAAAAAGTACCATGCCAGTTTTATTCCCATTGACTATTTACATCTTGGACAGCAAACCTTGCTCACATAAAGTAGAAAACAGATACGATAAAACATGGCTTGAGAAACGACCAGAGTGTGCACCTACAATACTGGACACTAAACCGAATACACAAGGCAGCGGTACTCAGGGGCCAGAAACACTGCTTACTACAAGTCAGTTATGGAATCATAATTTACAGTAAAAATGGGCACGTCCCAAGGCTCAATTTTTATTTTCTCTTTTGTCATTTACAGTAGAATAAATATTTTGTTGCTATTGCTACACTTTAAATTTACATTCTAACCTATTAAATGCAGAAAGCTAGTGTAAAGCATATAGATTAAGTGTAGGTCCCATACGTATGACAGTTTATTCAAGACTAGTAGGTTTTTGTTTTTGTATCTTTTTTAACTTTTTAAATGGCTAGTGGGAAAGATTTGTGCTTGTGATCAGCTCTTAACTTCAATTTTTACATCAAAGCGTCCCTGAAAACGGTCTTTCTCACTGTACCCAATGTTCTCACCGTACGCCTTACACTCGATGCGGATTTCAGTGTCCATGGTGAGGTTGGTGAACTGTACGGCCAGCAGCGGCTGCAGGTACTTGGGCTGCAGGAGCCTGCCGTAGTAGGGGTAATACTGCAGAGGAAAACCGGGGTAGCCGCCCAGTCCAAAGTACTCCACGTTTCCAACTCTATCCTTATCTTCGTCTCGCTGAAAGCCAGAGGGAAATGAGATGTTAACGGCTTGCAGCCTGGATCACTACTTGCCGTGACAAACGACACTCTCGGTCCCACAGAGCAGTTTGCAAACCGCTGCTGCAGGGAGACCAGTGAGCCCCTGACGCGCCCGCTCAAAGCCCCCCCAGAAGCAGCTGAACGCTAACCACGGGAGGGTCCCCCTATGGTTCCTCACACGAGAGCAACCAGCACACACTCAGTCTAACCCCTGGCAGCCGTGGCAAGTGCACATAAACGCAAACTGTTCTCTTTGTACAAAGTGAAGGCAAAGGCCAACCCAACATTTCTCCAAAGCCAACACTAGAAAGGCACCCGCCACTGAAAGTCAGAAATCCACTGGTGGTGGTCCAGTGGAACCAAGCATTTCTCCAAAGCTAACACACCTAGAAAGGCACCTGCAAATTCACTGGTGGGGGCCCAGTGGATGGTACTTCAGCATATCCCCTCCAAAAGTCTAATTGCCTTTCACTTTCTTGCATCCATTTCATTTCTTGGTGCCCACATAGAACAGCACTGAGTAGAGATTCCCTTTCTTTATTCTGCCCTCTCTGTGAACAGTCCACTAGGAACCTATTTTTAGATCTAAAGGGAACACATACTATTACCTTATCTTTCATTATTTTTTATTTTTATTTTTTCATTATTTTTTAAAGAAAAGCCAAAACCACATTTTTGTCAAAAACAAAAAAACAAAAAAAAACCCACACACACACACACACACACACAAAAACAAAAAAAAAAGTTGGCCTTCAATTTTGAACACACCATGTGGGCCAGAGAAGCACTGTGTGGGCTAGATAGAGTTCACCTCTCAGTTCTATAAACCAATATTCCCGCTAATTAAATTCAGATAATTCAGTTTCTTGTTCTGGTAGAGAAACGGACATGTGGTTTTAGCCTTGTTACATCTTTCTCTTAAGATGTTCTAACCCCATACAGCTACAGCTCAACTGCGACTAATGCCCGGAAGCCACGTTTCTCTTCTACCATAGTCAAGTTTTACCTCGAACTGAAAAGTCTCGCCCGTACCCCGCCCTCCCTCCCCACCACCCTCAGTAAGAAGCGTCTCCTTACCTTGCCAGTGCACTGGACCGGCAGGACGTAGGGACTATACTTCATCACGGGGTAAGCCTCCAAGGACTCATTCTTGGGAGGCTAAAAATAAGAGCCCACACTGGTCAATAAATGTGCAAGTAATTTTCTATATTCCTGAAAAATGAAGCTAGTTTGTAACATAAACAAGTACACACTGGTCACGAAAAGTCAACTGAAATAACAGAACAGGGTAACAGAACGAATGACTCCCCTAACCAATCCATGCTGGGACTTTGGTTGAAATAAAAATAAGTGCCCAAGTTCTGTGAGGCCGCAAGTAAGCTGTGAAGCAGCTCAGCACTACAGGGCACTTCTAACGAGCTCTCCTCCAGGACACTGAAAAATACTCCACGTTTCCAGCAGAAAGCCAACCCAGCACAACATTCCTCGTTTGCTACGATTATAACAATTAGATGGAAAAGTTGGTTGACATTTCTATTTTTATAAAACCTGGGCTTTCCTCCATGAAAAAATAATGCCATCCTTTTCCCTCCAGCAGGCCTTCTTCAAGTAGGCTTTTTTTTTTCTTCTTTGAATCTCTGAATTTCCAGCAGAGGCTCTGCCAGGTAAGGAGCATCTCCAATTCAGTGAAGGAAGTCCAATACGTAAAATGGCTCAAGACAGCAAGTGCCCTCAAGGCAGCAGCCCCCTTCCATGGAAGGGACCCAGAGTACACTCTCAAAGTTATCGTTGTGGTGAAACATCTAGAGGGTTCCCTTCTGCAGCGCTGGCTCAAATCCATCCCACAAGAGGTGTGATGAACACCTTTCCCTGGAAAGACAGCCACTTGCTTGCTTACTCAGATCAGCGTAGCATGTAGGTCTTGACATGAGACCATCTAACCAAAGTCAGAGAAAAAGGGCAATTCTCTGTATCAGTAAGGAGCTAATATGTTTGACCCTCTTAAAATACAAGAAAATGATCAAGATCTGACTCTCTTAGAATGTTCTACCAGCAACAGATTTATCTTTAAAGATATGGAGAGAAAATGCCAGAATCTATCCTCAGAGGGTGAGTAGGAAATAGGCATATCAAGATGCTGGAGTACCACAACCTCGGACAGAAAGAATTCTCACAACAAAACGGGGGGCGGGGAGCGTGGTTTGAGGTGAGGTGATGGATTAGACTGCGGTGATGGATAACCAAGTGGAGACCAAAGACAAAAGGAAAAAAGGACGGAAAAGAAAAGAGTAGCTGAAGTCATCACTGGGCAGGCACCTCTACAGATGTGGGTAGAGATGAGAATCACAACAGGACCACCTCTTGGCTGGGGGTGACGGACAAATATCACTCAGTCCCTATGAAGAGCTATCACCACAAGTGAGGGCCTCAGAGAGCAGAGACCGGGCCTCGTCTTCCTTCTGACCACCACACTGATCCCTTCCACAGCCAAACAGCTGCTTTGTCTGGGTGAAGAGCTCCTGGGCAATCCGAGTATCAACTCTAAGTGTGACATAATGGTTCTCACCATCTCTCTTCCATTCTATCCTAACTTCCGTGGAAAGAAGATTACAGTTCCGTGGAGAGAGGGATACGTTCATTTCTGCAGGTGGGCCGTCCACGTCTGCCGGCCAGGCCTCCATCCATCCTGCACACCCACCCAGTTTCGCCTCGGGTGGCCGGAAGGGAGTTCTGAGGCCTCCTCCAGTTAAGTTAAAACTTTTCGTCGCTACATCAATTACCTGTTTTAAAGAGACTCCTGGGTAACAAGCATTGTGGAAACAAGTCAAGAGCACGCGGCAGAAAAATAATGAACAAAAGAGCCAGATTCCAGAAAGGAGGTTAAGTTTGTTCCTGTAACTCAAGAGACTGTGTGGTCAATCCCTGTCAGAATGGAAAACCCGACTCGGAAGTGCTGTGCCCGAGGGCGACCGGGGGCCCTGCGGCAGCAGCAGCCTCGCTTCAGGGAAGAGGAGGGCTCTCTTTCCCATGACCTGAGGGAGAACACGGAATAGCCGGTTTTACGAAAGCAGAGGTAACACCAATACGCGTTTCCTTCTCTTAAACGATTACTCTCGTCTCACCCGACGGCCAAGGACGGCAAGCTGCCACCGCTCGGTGATCTCAAGGAACGTTCATCCACTCGGCTGCGAGAACGCCCAGAGCCAACACCACGGTTATCAAAGCTCAACCTGAATGGCGATCAGCTTCTACTTTTGCAACGAAATCGTCATCCAGTAAAAACAAACAAACAAACAAAAACTTGTGTTTTCAGATTACCGGACAATTTTTTAAAAGTACTCTTGGACTCCAAGAGTACCAAAACCTGAGTGAGACTGTACATGCAGATAGTTTTTAAATTTGAAAATACCTTCTTCTATTTTTATTTTCGAAGACTTCACGTTGTAGAAGGACATCACAGAAGTATTAAGAACAGAGCCGCCATGGCTCTGCCCCTCAGAATTTCTCTCACTTTAGGAAATGAGATAAACGACCTAACTTTCAAGGATCTCAAGGCGGATACAGAAGTTTTTGAACTTTTCGACTTCCGACCGGGTTCAAAGTCGCCACTGAGTATACTTTAAATCTTCTTTACAGACAGACTCTCCTCACACCAATTAGCCGTTTCATCCAAATGAGAAAAGTTCTTCTACATTCTAGGGTTTAAAACAGGACTTGCCTTAGGT